TAATTAATTAAATCATAAATAAATTTTTTAATAAAAATTTGTGAAATTTCAAACTTCTAACTGCCCAAAAATATTTAAACTTGAAATCCTTCAAACTTGAAAAGAGCACGAACGACGTTACGACGGAGTTCATCCCGCGACTCCAGAGAAATCGTTATCTGCCGGTCACTGTGAGTCATCGGCGCCACCAGAAGTATTTGATTTCGGTTTTATTTCTTTTTCTAGCCACTGCTCGGATCTCTCCACTTCCTGTAAGTTTCAGTGAACCCTAACCTTCTAATTCCGGCTTCTGACTGTTTGATATCGTATTTGTTTGTTGAAACTTGAAATTGAGGGCTTCTGTTTGAAATTGAGTTGCTGGGGCCTGGGGATTATGTTTATGTGAATTGTGGGAATGAATGTTGCTGGGAATTGATTTGGGCGTGAACTGGGCAGTGGCGGGCAGTGGCCTGTGAGTTGCTATTGTTGGGGATTATGTTGATGGGATTGAGTTTGCTGGGGAAAGTTGCTGGGAGGAATGGAGTGGAGATTATGTTTCCACTTGTTTTGTTTCATAATTATGTGATTCCATTTGTATAATTGAGCCACTTTATGCTTCAATATTCCCTCCCGTTCCTGATTTGCTAGTGGCCTTTATTTTATTTGTAGAGTTTTTTTTAATTGATTATTTGATAGCATATATTGAGAAGGAAGCATTCGATAATATTGAAAATAAAGTAATTATGGATATTAAAGTACTAGATGCGTATAGAACAATTGTAATAAGATATCGAATGCTTTAATTTTTTTTATAATTTTTTTGCAAGTTTGATTGTGCCCTAACTAAAAAATTTCATGTCCGCCTCGAAGAGCCCAACTGAAGCGTGAGCATCCATTTGATTTCATAAGTTCGAGCAAGGAGTCGTTAGCTTGCAAATGGAAGGACCATTTGAAGGTTAATTTGAAAATATTTTTTTTGTTAAGGCCAATTTTAATAGTGCTAAGATGATTTTCAGAATATGTGGAAGCGTGGGTTGGTATGATTTTTGTGGGTTGGTGCATACCAAGTTTAGGTATGCTTTCACAAGTTCTTAGCTTGGTCTAGGGAGGTTTGTGAAGGGATTCTCTTCTACGGGTTTGAATTGAATAAGCTGAATGATTGAATTGAACTTCAAATTACTACTTCGATTTTGTTGTTTAACTGAGATGGCTGTGCAAGTTCTCGATCTGACCAACTACAACTACACACGGAACGTAGATAGAGGTTTATTTGGTTGGTCTAGAACTAGTTGGCACACAATGCAATAGAGCAGTCAACGAACGAGTTAGTACACTTTTGCTTTTCTTTTTATAATCCTGATGTATGCATTTGCTACTTTATGCATTTGATGTATATTGGTT